CTTCTCCTCAACCCACTAACCTCCCCTACTCCTTGTCTCTCTTGTTAACTCCAATTCAAATTCCAACCTCTTTTTCTTCTCCTTTATCTCATCAAAGCTCTTGCAATTCCATTCTCCAATGGCAACTCCATTAACGTTGGAAGCCCTAACATCAGTCCGGTTATAACCTTGCAAACCATTGTCTTCATCCGCTCTGGCGAGGCTGACATGGACCTCAAAAACTTGAAGGACAATTCCATTGTCTTGGGTAAAGTGAGACTCCTCTGGTAAGTGCTCAAACTGATTATTGTGTTGAAACAAGGTGAAAAGTTTGGCAGATCTGGTGCTTTGCTATTCACATAGCATTGCAAACCATGGTCTTCATCTGCTCTGACGAGGTCGACATGGACCTAGAAAACTTGAAGGACACTTCCATTTTCTTGGGTGAAGTGAGACACCACCAGTTGGTGCTCAATCTGATTATTGTGTTGAAACAAAGTGAAAAATCTTACAGATCTAGTGATTTGCTATTGGCTTCTCGAGTTGTAACGGCTCGTAGCAGTCTGATTTGACCTTTATCGGCCGTTACAAGGATAACAGACTCATTACAAGCCGTTACGGATGTAAAATTCATTCTTACCGAAAAATCGGGGTGTAACGGGATCAGTGGCCTTCGTTATTGTTTTATTGTTACATAATGACTTTTATGTACCGTAATGATCGAGTTTCAAAACCCTAGTTACAAGTGATATTGACTTCACAAAAATGAGGGTTAAATTGGAATCCACTCTAATTATTTAATTACTATGGTAGTGAATCCAGCTGACTTCGCGATAATGTGTTTAATAAGGTTTTCAACGTCATTTTAAGCATCCGGAATTTACATAACTATTCGTTGTTTAAGGGCGGAGCTAAAATCTTAATTCATAGTGGAGCAAAATATAAACAAAGAAACTTCACCAATTAATATAACCTATTAAAGTTTTAGACATATTTTTAAGTGCATACATAAATAATATATCAATAATTAAAACTAACACCATTCAACCTTAATATGTATGAAACAAAAGAAAAAGATGTAATCTTTGTGCCTCGGTGCGTCATACTTCTATCATCGATTGCCGTTGTTTCATGTCCCGAGGATAATCTACAACTGATTTCCTAAAACTTATAAGCGATTCCATTTTTATTTTTGACAACATACGTGGCCACAAATGATGTTCATACTTAACAAGTATCAATGCTTTCAATGATCATTGAAATTAAGCCATAACTCAATGTATTTTTTAACTTCTTCAAGAAATGGATGAATAAGAAGCAAATCAAGTTAGACTTAGGGGTGTTTAAATTTTTGATTATCCGTAATTTTTTATCTTATCCAACCCTATCCTACTTTATTGATCGGTTAACCGAAAAAATTAAATAGAAATGCAGAAGATTTTTTGGTCTTCTGATTAAATCGGGTAAGAATGCGGAATACTCATCAAATTTTTGTATTCTTATCCTACCCTACCCTACCCTACCTATATATATATATATATATAAGAGTAGTTATATGATTTTTGATGTATTTCATATGGTTTAAACCCAAAATAGTTGTTATTGTATTTGTGCAATAATTATGATAGATTGATATTTATGTCTTGGGTTTTGTTATAATTGTTATTGTAATTATTTTAGATTTTAGTTTTATTAGTTTATTGTGTTGTTAAATTAGTGTAGATTACCTAATTGAATCATTAAAATAATCCAAAAATTAATAACTACAAAACGTGTTCACCCGACTACCTACCTGATTAATTTGGTCGAAAGTCAAATAGAAATACTATACTTGATAGGGTAGGATAGGTCCTAAAGTATCGGATAAAAAAATAAAACACTATATTTAGTAGGGTAATACCTTAAGTTAGACTTTTTATGACAATCACCAAATACTTCCACATGCCTAGGCCAAAAAAATGTAAAAATTAATGGATCCACTAGCTAAAAATATCATTAGTGTCTTGTATATGCAATAACACTTATAAATGGGGTAATCCAAATGGCAGGGGGCATTTGCCCACCCTCGACTAATAATGGCTCTGCCATTGGTGTTGATGGAGTAAATATTAATGTAATAGTTATTCCACGTTAACAATATCATGTGGTAAAATTATTTAATAAAATAATTAAAAAAAATAAAATGAACGTCATTATCTTACATAGAATTGATTATATATTTGATGGATGAGTGGTTATTTATTTGGCGTTCTGGGAATTGAACGTCTTTAGCAATGTACATGTCGCACTAAATATTTTCACGACTTGTTGGCTCAATGTACGGACATGTGCATGCATGCCACGTGTGATTCCAAAATGAAAATTTTCTCAGAAATTAGGACTTGGGGGGAGAGAATTGCCATTACCAGCGAATTAATTTCATACGGTTTTGTGAAGCCAAACTAAGCTGGCGGTTTTGGACATCAACCCACGTTGTTCCTTGAACATCATCAGCGAAAACGGCCCCTTATGTTCCTTCGTAAACCAATCACAATTTAGATTGAGTGCAGTTGTCCGTGATACTATGATATTATCGTCACGTAATGTCACATGTTATAGTCTATGTCTTTTAATAACCACTTAATATTTGAAAATAACAATTAAGTGAAATTTATCTTATTCACTTGTGAATTTATTATTAAATATTAATACAACGTGACGGTGATGATGTAATTTTACTGTTACTCCTAATATTTAGTCATGGGTTAGGAGAATTGGAATCAAATTTTTAAACGACAATTAAAAACCAACAACAGACATTCAAAAACCAGATTACAGTTAAGCCAGGTTTGTAAATGCCAAGTTGGGTTGATTTTCTGGTATTTAACTGTTTGACTTTCAGTAATGCTAGATTGACCAAATTTTAAGACTAAATTTAGAGTATAAATGACATGACAGTTGATTTGGACTTCTATGATTGGTGTAATATCATTGAGTCCTAATAAAAACTTCACATAATCAACTGTCATGTCATTTGGGCTTTAAATTTAATCCCAAAATTTAGTCAGTATAACATTACTCTTTCACTTTTCCGTCCTCTTTTCCACTAATATTATGTGCCCCATAACTTGCCACTAATTCATAGTCCATCTAAATCCCGTTCCCACATTCATGGCCACAATTTTTGTTCTGGGTATATACATCAGTGAATTTTTTTTAAATTTTAATAAAAGATAAATGGCTACCGACATATGGATGAAGAGAAAGGAAAATTAATTTTGAACTTTTTGAGTAATGATTTATTTTTTACTACAAGGTATCTTGGTTTACGTCAATTGCTCTCTTGAACTCTTGAATTGAATTAGAGCATATCTATAATACTCTATATGGTAGGAATAATGAAACGTATGAGGTATACACTTTCTATCATTTTAAGAAAGAAAGTAAAAATGAAACATTTTCTTTCCTTTGTGTTTGGTTGGATGGATGAAAAATAAAAATGACTAATTTTTTTTTGTTAACTACAATTAAGGGTGACAATTAAGCCGTATCGTGTCAGATTCGTGTTAAGTCTTTATGGGTTTGTGTCGAATATTAATCAAACATAACTCAATTCATTTAACTAATTGTATCGTGTCGAGTTACAAGTTGACCTGTTTATTTCCGTATCGTGTTTGTACTCGTATTCGTGTTGACTCACATAAATTTTGAATAAAAAATTAACGCTATTATTCTATTTTCAATTAATTGAATCCATGATAATATTTTTTCTACAAATTAAAAATTAACTTAAATAAATATAATAATAATAAGTAAAAATATATTTTTTATGTAATAATTATGTTAGTGTTTAATAAATAGTTAAAAATAATTAACATTTGATATATATAATACTAGTTAAATATATTTGTTCCGTGTTAATCTCTTGTTACCATAAAAATGAGAAAATAGATAAAGTGTTTATTTTTAAATAAACGGGTTGATGATGTAATTTTTGATTTGACTGGTTGAACTGAATATAAAGTTTTTATATTTTTTATTCGCGTGTCAGGTCATTTTTAAGTTCGTGTTGAGTTATAATCAAGTTCGTGTCGAGTCGTCGTGTTATCATGTTGAGCCAAAAATTTTCTTCCCTAATTAAAATGAAAAAAATATTTTTTTTTATTTAAAATTTTAATTTTTAATTTTAAATTTACTTTTAAAATTTTTTATATATATATATATATATATATATATATATATTTTATCATTGTATTTTTATATAAAATTAATGTATACACACAATATATGTATATATCAAAACATATATAGACAAAAAAGATACATCTCAACACAAATAATTAACTTTTCATTCACTTTCCTTTCGATTTTGGAGGATTGATTTTCGTGAGTTGGAAGTAAATTTAATTCATCAACTGTTCTATCTTTCTTATTTTCTTTATTTACCAAACATGATATTTTATTTATCCCTCTAACTTTTCATCTGTTCAATTTTTTATCATTTTATTTTTTTATCGTATCAAATAAAACATAAAAATACAAGAGTAGCTAATCAACATGAGACCTATTTTCATGAGAGTCCAAAATAAAATTGACCTTTTCCTTCTCAACGTGAGACCTATCTTCAAATTTTAATATAAATAATCCACGGTCCTCCTGGTCACGGGAAATCTTTTAATACACCTTTCATATAATTGTGTCTATTTTTGACCACTCATCTTATAACTTCCACGCGACAATACCAAATATCTCTATTCTATTCTATTCTATTCTATTACTTATAGAATAGAATAGAAAAGAAATTTTTGTATGAATTTAAGACACAGTTAACGAAAATTTATGTTGTCAAGTTTTTATTGGGTAGTGCATTATAGTCACACAAATTTTTTTACAAAACAAATATCCACGTAAATAAAACCTTTTACGAGATTTATATATGTTTGCTGGACCAATAGTCAATGACTTCAGCTCTGTTGGGTATTCTCTGCTTCTAAACAAAGAGAAGGCCATCATTGTGCAACCGGATCGGGTGGTTATTGGGAATGGGCCTGCTTTGGGTGTGTTTTGATGAAGCTGAAGTTGCCAGAATGATGGGGGTGAGCAATACAGAATGCAGGTTTTTTGTTTGCTTTTATGCTGGAGTTCTTCCTATTTGCAGCGTTTTGTGAAAATTTGGGTATGCAGGTACGAGTTCCAAATGCAATATGGATCCATTGGTTGGTCTGTGGGTGCAACTCTTGGTTATGCACAGGCTGCACAGATGTGATTGCTTGCATTGGTGATGCTTCCAGGTATGTATGTATACTCTGTTTCACTGCAAATAGAATTCACTAAGTGTTCACAATTTGGCTTAAAACAGTGAAGTAATCTCCTGATCAAATCAATTTCACACCCAACATTTGTGTGTGTTTACATTCTTCTTGGTGAATTGTTGCAGGTGACTGCTCAAGATGTTTCAACAATGCTACGATGTGGACAGAGGACCATTATCTTCCTGATAAACAATGGTGGTTAAATCATTGAAGCTGAGATCCATGATGGACCGTACAATGTAATCAAGAACTGGAACTACACTGGATTGGTTGATGCAATCCACAACGGCGAAGGCAATTGCTGGACAACAAAGGTGAGCTGAGTGAGTTGCATAATGCTTTTGTTGTACAGATAACAGTGAATTGGGCAGTGTGTTGAACATCAAACATTTGTTGCATTTTTCGTCGCAGGTCCGTTGGAAGAGGAGCTCATTGAAGCAATTAAGACAGCAACTAATGCCAAGAAAGATTGCTTGTGCTTCATCGAAGTGTTTGCTCATAAGGATGATACAAGCAAAGCGTTGCTTGAATGGGGCTCTAGGGTCTCTGCTGCTAATAGCCGTCCACCAAACCCCCAGTAAATCTCTTTACCTCTGCTACAATTTGGATCAATCAGTAAATGCTGAATCAGCCAGCAACTTTGTGCTTCTTTGTCAAATATAGATTGTAATTTCGGGTTCTCTAAAACATTTTGTGAAACATTTAATTCTCTCTTGTAATTTCTAATTCAACACATGGAAGAATAATAATGAGCAATACTACAAAACCGAAATCAAACTCGAAAAATTGTGGTTTAAATGTATATCATCCCTTAAATAAGTGATCCTATCAATTTTTTTAATGGGACCCACTTATTGCATATTCATCAACGAGATGATATAAATTTGAATTTCGTTTGAGTTATATAGCATTTTTCAATAATAATTATGCTATTATTGTTTGAAGTGGTCTTTCCCAACACATTGTGGCAAGATCACCATTTCCAAGTTTCAAATTTAATTTCAGAAACTTCTATGTTAGGGTTTGACTTAAACTATTATTACTTATTTTATTAGATCTCTTATTAGTTTATTACTCAAATAGTATTCCAGTTTGATGGGAGGTCAAATGAATTTTAAAAGAATTTATTATTTATGTTGGTTTATTAAAATAATTTAGCAGTTTGGTATATTAATAATAATATTATAGAGAATATATTTTTCCAAATTGCTTTAGGATTTTAGAAATCAAAAAAGTTTTTGAAGAAAATTTAACTGGTATTACTAGAAAAATCAACATATATATACTAGTCATAATCTGTGTTTGAAGGTACGATGAAACATAAAATTTGAATGTGTAAAAAATTTATCTCACTATATTAAATAACTTTTAATTGCGTGTGCAAAAAGACACTATATAACAAGCAAATGTATAGAGAGGAAACCCGCACACAAACCAACAACATGATTTCTAAATTTCTTCTCTTTCACCATTCAAACCTAAATCTTCCCAACTCATACCATTTGCAATAGCAAAACACAAAGATAAACATAAAAGCAAAGTAAAACTGTGAGAAAAAAAACTGCTACAGGTACTGTACAAATGCTATAAAAAAATAACTTACCTATTTCATCAAAAAATTCAATACAACATCAAGTAAATACAAAGGACAACTTATTTGAAATTTCTAACACAAACAAACATAAAAAAAACAGCCCTTATATAAATATATAAATTTTTTAATTTTCACCGGTCTTAAATGAAGCTTCATTCATGTAAAATGCTTGGCTTTAACAAAATACATCCATTGGTTGAACAAATGACGAAAAAGTATTGTCTAGATACATACACACTTTTTGATTAAAAAAGAAGAAGATACATATGCACCTGACTTCAAGGTTGATGGAGATGTGGACCAATTGCATTGTGTAAATAGCCATGGCTACACTTAACAGAGGATATACCTACTCATATCCATTCGCATTTACTTAGAATCATCGTATTTGTTCTTGGCAGTACTATGTTTATGAGTTTACGGTTTGATCAAAAAAAAGAAATAAAGAAATACATATTAAAATACAATCTAACACTTGAGACATTTCATCAAACAAACTATATATGTGCGTAGTGAGTGTGGACAACCAAAAATCCATCACGCTACTTTACATAGACAACATAAATTTCATAAATCTCAACTACTAACAAAACATTGACATGTGCATACGTGTAGAAAGAATTACCCAAAAAATGCAAGAACTAAGAGACAAAAATATCATCTGATGCCACAAACTACAAAGTTATACGGTAATATCAAAGATCCAAAGAAAAATTAAACCTCTTGATGTAAGATTTAATTTTAAGTATAACATAAAAATTGGATGGCTTCAAGGAATTTAGATGGTGTGCACTAACAAAATGGTTTTATTTAATAAAATTGTTATAGGATGAATTGGAGTGAAGAATTATTGATACGCACATATAAGTTGAATGATGTAGGCCAAGAACTAACAGAAAAGATGAACATAATTTTAGTCGACAAATGATAGTAATTTGTTTGACATTTAATAACTTTTATTTTCTCTCTCTCTCTCTCTCTCTCTAGATTTTCCACTTACCAAACTGTTCAGTAAACAAAAACAGAGGGATAGAGGGAGACATGAAGAAGGACCTTTCTGAGAACAGAAGTGGCGCTAACGGAGAGGTAGGCTTGATTCATGGCGGAACTAAGAGCTCTGTCTCTAGACGCATAGTGAAATTCAAAAACACAGCACAAAAAGGAAAAAGAGACACTCACCCTTTTTTATTGGATCGAATTTTGGGCCAAGGTCATTTATTGCGCACATAACCTTATCCGAGTCGGTCAAGATCTTTTCACTTGCTACAAGTTCATCACAAATTTTTTTGAATCTATCCAAATAATTAGTCATTGGATTTCTTTGCGAATTTGCTAGAGTTCATGATAAAGATTTCATTCCCTTTCCTCGGACGTCGAAGCAAAACTTTTTGAGCAGATGATCAGATTTTCTCCATGAGTTGTAGACAGTATTTGGCTCTTCTTTTTCTTCGGCAGTAGTAATCATCGATTTTGGATATTGAGCGTCTTTGTTTATATACTCAAAAAGGCCGGCTCCAATAACCAAATGAAGTACTTGATATCTCCAGATCAAGTAATTTTTAGGGGTGAGTTTTATATTCACCATAGAAGAGAGTTGAGAAAGATTTTTAAAAGTGAGAGATGATGCCATTTTAGCAGAGGTTTTGTAGGCTCTAATACCATGTAGAGAACCAAAAAACTTGAAGCTGAATCTCTACCAAAACCGGTGAGAGGGAGAGATGTATTTCATTTCTTATATAGGATATCAAAGATACAAAATCAATTACAAAAACTAAAAAATAACAATACACTTTGATTAATACTCTAATACTAAAATATTGGAGTATCAATGTACTTGTGACAGTATGTTGGAGTGCGAGTTTTTTCCCAAACCCAGTCTCTTCAAAAACTTTATTCTTAAATCCAGTCAGTTTTTAACTTATTTTCCAAACTCAATCTCTTTTAAAAAACTTTATTTCAAATAACTCCTTCACGGGTTAAAACGTCATTTGAAATGACGATTTTAAATTGAAATTTGTGTATTAAAAACGTCATTCAAAATGACGTTTTTAAAGATGTCATTCAAAATAACGTTTTTTAAAATAAATTTTTAAACGGTAACTAACGGGCGGTAAAAATAATAGTGAGTAGAAAACGTCATTGTAAATGACGTTTTCTATCCACTTATAATCGGCCCCTAACTTTCTCAAATCACAAAAATCCTAGACCTGTCGATTTACCCATCCTCTCCACTCCACACCTTCGACGAAGATCACTTCGGTGCAAGCTTTTACCTCTGACGAAGACACTTCGCCGACAAAGAATCACTCCTCCGACGAAAGATCTGAGGTTTGAGAAGAAGTTCGCAAAGTTGTGGAGTCTCTCTCTATTTTTGTTCCTGTCCTACAACGACTGCTGAACACTACTCCGGCGACCCACCTAAGGTAGTGTGGTCTCTGTCTCTCTTTCTTCAGAAATTTATGGGCTGGAGGTTCATACTTCTTGATTCATTTTCCAGTTATTGATTCAAATGTGTGCTGTTTGTTTGTTCATTTTATTCAACCTTGGGTACTTTAAGAATGTTCAATAGATTAATGTGAATATGCTTCATTGTTTAGTTTTACCGTTTGTGTATGTTTTGATATGAATTTTGTGAATTGAAATTTGGAAATTATACCCTTTTGCTGGAAATTATACCCTTTTGTTCTACTGGTTTGGTGAAAAGTTATGATTTTTGGCACTTTACTGCTAATGGAATTTTTAAGTTTTGCTGAATTTGTTAGGGTAGGTCTGGACTACAAATATTTTTGAGTAATTTCCATGGCATTTTTCATGAGAGCTCATCGTTGTGACTGGGAATGCCATTCAATCTAACTGCAGTGGTTTGCTTAATGCATGCTAACAAGGTTTCTAGGACATTGTTCTACAATGCACTGTTTTCAATTTGTGTATGATATTTGCGTGTTTTTTTTTTTTTTTGTGGGTAATTTTTCATTGAAGGGCTCCAAAATCCAGGGGCGCATGTGGGTAATTTTTCATTGTGGCTACATGTTAGTGTGCAACATTATGCCTACACTAGTGAATTTCGTACTTCTTATTCTACTGTAGTGGGCCTGAAAAGTCTTTGTTTTTAGAAACTGTTGTAGTATAGGATTTGTGGTGAAGGAATAGGAAATCAAAAGTAAATTTATCTTAATACACCTGAGCTAGAAAATTAGAGTAACCTTTAATAGAATTATTACATTAGATCTTTTTTGGAAATCCAACCAGACTAGTATCTTGTGTAAATATCATTGTATCCTATATGATACAGTTAACAAGGCATACGTATTGACAATGTGTATTGTGGCTAATAATTTACCTATGATTTTCTTTTTATTTTGTCTGTGTCCATCAATCAGTGCAGGGGTCCTATATATCTTGTTCATGCATATATGGAAAGTTTTGGCTTTAGTAATTTGGAAAGTAAAGAGTGTTTGTTGTAGTCAGTTGAGTTGGATTTAATCATTATGTTTCAATGCTAATTTCACCAGTATTGCTTTAATCATTTTTCCTCCACAGAAGACTAAACCTGAAACACAATATGCAGTCTTGACAGGGATGTCAAATGGCGAACTGGGGTGGAGATTATACCTGTTCCTTGCCGTAGTACAGACAACTTCAATTTAAGTACAATTTCCCTTGACCGAGGATTCAATCAGGCAAAGAAACGCGGTCTTAAAGTTCATGGAATCATAATTTCAACCCCTTCAAAGCCTATGGGCAGTCTTCTCAATCGGGAGGCACTTGACAACCTTTTGGACTTCGCAACAGAAAAGAACATTCACATAATCTCCAACGAAATACTAGCAGGATCCAATCATGGAAGTGAGGAGTTTGTGAGCAGAATTAATGTAAATGAAGATGCAAAAATACTAACATATTGGTTCTTAATATATGTATTTCATCTCAATTTTGGTTCCCAAAGTATTGATATTGTTAATTTAGTTCTTGAAGTGTTTGATTTGTACTTAGATGGTTCAGTAGATGACGTCCCCGTCCCCCAAAACTGTGACCTTTGAGCTCAACCGCCTGCCCCACCTCTGTCTCAATCACCCCTCTCCCCCTTCCTGCAACTTGTTTCTTATTCAAATCAGGTAGGTTTTCTTCATGTGTTCAATCAAGTTCCATGAATTCATTGAATTAAAACAGATTGATCATTGAGGTGGTTACAGGGTGGGGGAAGTTGGTTGTTGCCACTGGAATGGTGGGTTTCATCTTGTAGGTGGTTTGGATAGGGGGCTTTATTTTTGGGCTCTGGTCTTCCAGAAACATGTCTACTAGGGATCCCAAAAGAAGGAAACATGAAAAAGCCATGTCTATGTCAATCTAACAAAATATTCACCATTCTGTTTTTAACCCTAATATATTCTTACAACACTGCACAAGCTCTCTGTACTGAACTAGGGACATTAAACAAGCCACTTCTATTTCATTTTAAAAAATGGAATGAAATATGAATTCTAAATAGTTCTTGTCTATTTGAAAGTTGGGGAAGGATTAATAGTGGGTAGAAAACATCATTATTAAAAACGTCATTATAAATGATGTTTTCTACCCACTATTTTTTTAACGTCTGTTAGTTGCCGTTTAAAAATTTATTTTAAAAAACGTCATTAAAAATGATACATTTAAAAACGTCATTTTGAATGACTTTTTCAATAAAAAAATTTCATTTTAAAATCGTTATTTCAAATGACGTTTTAACTCATGAAGACATCATTTGGAATGACGTTTTCAAAAAGAGATTGAGTTTGAAAAATAAGTTTAAAATTAACTGATTTTGAAAATAAAATTTTTGGAGAGACTAGGTTTGGGGAAAAGCTCATTGGAGTGCACTCAACCGTGAGAATCCTTCCAATAGCTCTCCTCATTAGGTTCCAGTTAATCACTGCCATGTGATCAGATTTTATCTTTATCTCCTCAATATCCTTATCTGAGTACTTAGCAGCTTCTGTTTCCTTAACATAATATACACTATGAAATCCCTAATATCTCATCCAAATGTTTTGTTTGGTGTGATGAAAAGTTGAAAGGATAAATAAAATATCACATTTGGTAAGAAATTAAAATAGGAATGATGAAAAAGTAAATGAATTAATTTTTTTTAATTTACCAAAATCAATCCCTCTAAAATTGAGAGAAAAAATGGATAGAAAGTTAATTATGTGCTATATATCTTTCAATATATGCATATATCATATTTATTTATTTATTACATATTGTGTATGCATTAATTATATATATATATATATTCTATCCTTCAACTTTTTCATCCTACCAAACACAAAGAAGGAAAAAAAACATTTCTCTCTTGAAAGATAGAAAATGTATCACTCCCACTTTTTATTTATTTATTTTCTCATCTACCCAACCAAAAATATCATAAATGTATACTCTATATTCGTCTTTAATCAAGACAAAAAAAAAGTTCTAACATGATTGTGTTGAAGGATAACCTTAAAACAGTTAGACCTATTTGTTTATGACATTTTTAGTCTACCTTGTGGCTTGTGTTTGGCGTAACTTCTTAAAATAAAAGTCTACCTAAAAAATAGATTTTATGAGATAGATTTTATGGGATGAACTTCTAAAAAAAGTTGTATGTTTGGTGAACATACTTTTTGGAAGTACTTGTGAATCAAAAACAAATCAATTTATACAAAGTATGTATGGTGATAATATTTCAAATGTGTAAAATAACAATTGCTTATCAATATTACCCTCAACTTTTGGAAATTGTTGTTTGAACTCGACAATCGTCCTCATACACCTCACATACATATAATTCGTTCTTCTGTATAGGACTGGTGAAGCATAAGAGGTTGGATTGTCAGTCCAATTGTGTCGTATCCTCTTCATATTATGTTATTTCAAGTTCTTCTCTACTATTAGACAAATTTGGTTTGATTTATTTAATTAATCGTGTTAGATGTTTTAACATCAAAATATTTATTTTTGAAACGCAACTAAAACCATGATAAAAAAGGATTCATCTAAAAATAAAGATATATTTTATTAATTATTACAAATATATGTTTATGCAATACATGCGTTCAATTTTTCGATAATTTTTGATAGGTATCATATTTGATACAATCTTCGGTCGACTTAAATGGCCACATCAATACTCCACCAGCCAATGCGACATTCAATTCCCCGGGTAAAGTAGTACTCTGCCTTCATCAATGTGGTGGAACAATAGAACCTTGAGAATAGGTGTCCTCTGTGGTTGTCATGAAAATTAGAAAAGACCACCATTGATAAATAGTTACATACTACACTCTCTCTCCACGCCATAAGTATTTTACTTCCAACCCTCACATACCCATAAACACTGTTATCACCTTATCTCTCCCACATGTGCAAATTTACTCTACAGTCCACCTGAAGAAGCTTAAGAATGAAATAGTTTTTACACTCCCTGTGCGACGGCACCGATAACATGAGGATCAAAAGCAACTTAGATGGTGTTGGAGAAGACTTAGTTTTACATATATAGGTAAGTTTGAGTGTATAATGTGTAAATGTATATGTGTGAGAGAGCGTGTGTATTATGAGAGGGAGATGATTAAAGAGCAACTGATAATGGTGTGGGTTTGTAGATTCCTAAACTTATAGAGGTACAAGAACTATAATAATGGTAACGGTCGCTGTAAAGGTTATGATAACTGTTGGATTAAAACAGTTTTGTAAGTGTAAAAATTGAATTTTGGTCGATTTTAAATCTAAATTAAAGTGGCACCCGATCGTTATTTTGAATAAAATTTTGTGGGTTCATATTCTACTCCATGAGGAGAATAATGTAATATATTCACTTGCTCAAATCGAGTAAGAAATGAATAAGAAAATAGGCTCTAAAATGACCCACTTTAAATGTGAAAATAAAGGAAATACAAAGTGAGATATGACATCAATCCCACATTGGTTGAAGAAGAAATTCAACATGGGCATATATAAGTCAAGTTTACTCTATAGGATTGGGCCTTAAAGGATACCAAAGTTTTATGAGCAAAGCGAACACCTACATGTCTTCGGTTCAACCACACACACGCGCGCGCACCGCCCGCCATGAATAGTTACTCAAGGTGTCTATTGGCTGTTGTGTCTTGTCATTCTGGATTGTATCCTTTAATAAGGTGACTATCTGAAAAGTCACCAATGTGTCTATAAATACCCAACCTCATTTTCATTAATTTTATTCAATTAATCAGTCTTTTTTCGACAATAAGGTAAACATTAGAACATATCATTTTCGACATTAAGGTAGTGCATTTAGAGAGTACACAACATAATTTTGGTTTGTTGGACGAACATCCGGAAAGTCACCAATGTGTTTATAAATACCCAGCCTCATTTCCATTAATTTCATTCAATTAATTAGTCCCTTTTCGACAATAAGGCAGACATTAGAACATATTATTTTTGGCATTAAGGCAGTGCATTTAGAGAGTACACAACACGATTTTGGTATGCTGGACAAGCAAATTGGAGTGTTATTTCTGTTTATGTAAAGATCATTGTATCTTGGGAGACAGGCGTTCAGTTTCCATAAGCACCATTTGTGTTGGCGAAATTTGTCTTAAGAACAACGTATCAAACGCTAGTCTTGATCTACCTAAAGTTCAATAACAATTCCTGTTCTGCAATTGGGTTAGTATTTTTATTGTTTAAACAAACAGTTATGTGTATCTGTGTGTTGTTACTGTTTCGTTACCCTGCTGTAACTCTTTCGTTTCTGTGTAACTCTTTACTGTAATTGTTTTGTTATATTTTACATAATTCAAATCAGAAATTTTAATAAGTGATTTTACAATATTTGACACACCGCAAACAATAGTAACGACGTAATGGACACAGGTCATATCGAACATTACGTAACGGTAACAGATACTAGATATGTGAATATTTTTTTCGACTCACACCTCACCTAAAAATGCATGTTTGTATGTTTCTACTCTAAAATCAAGTCAATATGAATATTTAATGATCACTAAAATGATATAGACGTGTTCGTATTGAGGGTATCATTATATAATCTTTCAAAAATGATCAAAGTCCGTAATAATTATAATAAAAAATGATTTAGTATGTTCTTTGAAATACCAATAATTATAGGTTGTGTAAAATAACAAACTTTAAGAAATTAGGATATTGTTAGCCCATTTACTCAAAAAAAACGATTAGCCCATTAACTATGGGCCTTGAATAAAATAGTAATACAGCAGCTGTTGGTTTGATAGAGATAAAAATTAGAAAAAACAAAGAGCCCAATTGTTCTCCGTCTTGTCCGCCCACTAACCTCCCCCACCCCTTATCTCTCTTGTTAACTCCAATTCAAATTCCAATTCAAAGCTTTTGCAATTCCATTCTCCCATGCAATTCCATTCTCCCATGGCAACTCCATTAACGGTAGAAGCCCCAACATCAATCCGATGACAGCCTTGCAAACCATGGTCTTCATCCGCTCTGGTGAGGCCGACATGAACCTTGAAAACTTGAAGGACACTGCCATTGTCTTCAGTGAAGCGAGACTCCTCCTGTGGGTGCTCAATCTGATTATTGTGTTGAACAGAGGTGAAAAGTTTGACAAATTTAGTGCTTTGTTATTCACATGGTTTCTCGAGTTGTAACAACTCATATCGGTTTGATTTGACCCTTATCAACCGTTAACAGGGGTTACGGATCTGTTACAAGCTGTTACGAATCTGAAATTAATTCTTACCAAAAAATTAGAGTGTAACTGAATTGTTGACTTTCGTTATCGTTATATAACCAAAATAAATAGTTATTAATAAGGTTTTCAACGTCATTTTAAGCATCCGGAATTTACATAACTATTCGTTGTTTGAGGGCGGAGCTAAATTTTAATTCATAGTGGAGCAAAATATAA